CGCAGCCTCCCTGGTGCTGGGATTGCAGGCATGTGCCCCCATGCCCAGCTCAATTTAGAGTACTTGTAAAGACATTTAACTAATCAAACAAATACTTGTCTGGAAGATTAGTTTACAGAATACTCATCCTTTCAGACAAAGCTCCCAGGTTGTCAAGAGTGTTGTGTAGCACCCAAAGAGCTCTTATGTAAGCAGCAGACTGTCACAGCATGAGCAGCTTCGAAGAAGCAGTCCCTGTTGCTCATGAGCCTTTTTACCACTTGGGAACATCTTGGAGAGGGATAAACTGCATTTTTTATTTTTAAGTAGGGTTGCTTAAAAGTGACATTGGGAGTGCAGGCTAGAGAGCGAGCCCACAGAAACAGACACTCAACAAGGGGAGAGCAGAGGTCCCAGCAAGTCTCGCTGGTTGAGGGAGCTGTCCACCAGGGTGTAGTCCTCTGCTGGTTCAGATTGGCTAGTGAATTTGGTGCCTGCTGCCCTGTGATGTAGGCAGATGACAGGGGAGGCTCCCTTGTGGACAAACCTGTGTCCTGGGCCACAGAGCCTCCCTGGAACCCACGGGAGCCATGACTGTCCCTGTCCTGCCAACCTCTTGAAGTGCCGTGGTTGTGCGTGACAAGGCCACAGTATGTGCTTGTGATGCCCCTGCCTCCTACTTCATTTTGTTTATTTAAAAAAAATCTTTTATTTACTTACGTGTTTGGCACAGGGTCTTGCTCCACAGCTCAGACCCTAGTCCACCTGTCTCAGCCTCCCCAGCACTGGGCTTGTGGGCTTACACCACCACACCCAGTTTGGAATCAAACCCCCTGCTTGCCAGGCAGATGCTCAGACTGCTGAGCTATCTCCACAGCGCCCCTCCCCTACTTTAATAAATTAGCACTTGCAAGGAATGACCAAGAAGAGCTAAATTTTGTACATCTGTGCTTTTTTCTTTTCTTACTACTCAGTAGTTTTGGTAACTGGATGTGGTGGCACAAGCCTGCAGCCTCAGCCCTCTGGAGAGAAACACAAATTTAAACCTAGCCTGGGCAATTTTATCAACTTAGCGAGTCCCTTTCTTAGATTGAAAAATGAGTGTGAGAGGTCTGGGTTAAATCTTCAGTACTGAAAATACAGCGGACCTATGAAAGGTTCCTCAGCCTCTCAGTGTGCTGGGTGACAGGTGTGCATTACTGTGTCCAGCTAGGCATGTTTTTATACAGTATATGTAAGTGCCATATGCTTTCCTGTGACTTTTGTGTGCGTTCCATTGTCCCTTCATAGTGGTGTCATATGGAGCTGTTAGTGGTAGTGGCACTGGAGGACAGTTGCTGTCCTGAGCTGCATGTCAGGGGCTTGAAGTGTCCCTGCTTTTTTATATATTTGGTACAGGGTCTCACTGCGTAGCTCAGACTTGTAGTGATCCTCCTGTTTTCAGCCTCCCCAGCGTTGAGATTACAGGTGTGTGCCACCATGTCCTGTCTCAGTGGCTGGCTCAGCATACCCGGGAGCTGGGCTGGTGCAGCATGTGGTGCTGGGGATAGAACCCGGCCCCGGCACTTGCCTAAGCAGGTACTTAGACCACTGAGCCATCTCGCCAGGCCCAGTTATCTGTCTGCCTGCCTGCCTGCCTGCTTGCCTGTCCAGGCACTTATACCACTGAGCTATCTCCCCAGCCCTTTCCCTGCTTTTGTCAGGAAAACCATCACCTACCATGGCCAAATGATATGACAGATATCCCACGTTGCAGCAAAGATGTTCAGGAATCTTTTTTTCCTGGAACCAAGAGATTGAACTCAGGCCCTTGCACTTGCAGGGGAAGCGCTTATTCTCCTGAGCCATCTCCCTGGCTCCCCATTCAGGAATCTTTATACAGTGGTACCTTTTCCCCATTTCTACTTTGTATCTGTCTTTTAATGGTGTGGGGCTCAAACTCTGTGCATGCCTGGATACTGAGCCATCTCCTTGTCCAGTGCTGGCCTCCAGTCCTGTCTGTGGTGCTGTTTTGTGGGAATCGGGGTGCTGGTGGGATGAAGGTGGCTCTGAGTCCTTAGGGATGTCTTCAGAGAGGTGTGTTTGAAATGCAGCTGGAGGGGAAGTCTGTTAAGTACACTTTGGCCTTAAGAGGAGCATGGCTCCCGTATCAGCTTGCCCAAGCATGTAACCTGTGTGACAGACTTAAAACTGGCTGTCACTCACTTTTCAGTGGGGTATCTATCAGCAGGTGGCCTTTCCTTCTCTCAGGCTGCCACTGTCACTTGGGCTGCTGCTCATGTGACAAGTTAGCCTGGGCTCCGTGCTTTCCTAGAGTGTCAGACATCTGAGAGGGCATTGTCCTCACCTGTTTCTTCTTGGTAATAGGCAAGCAGCTCCCACTGCTGGCTACAGGCCCCCATGACACTCATGGGAGAGCATCCAGGTGGGTGGGCCGCTCAGCCTGGGCTGCTGCAGCAGCAAGCAGCAAACCTGGACAGGTTTCTTAGGGGTCCTGTGAACCAGGATGTGAAGGGATGGAAACATCCTCATATCCAGCTGGTGGTCAGTCCTGACTGTAGAGGAGCAACTTTAAACAGCTGTGGTGTCCACATGTCACCAAACTGCAGATTCTATTTTGATTGGTTCCAACTAGTTTTTGTGTACCTTGCTGTGTAATTTTTTTTCTTAGTTTTGTTTTGTTACTTGAGAGAGTATCTGGCTGTGTAGCCCAGGCAGGCCTCTTCACGCTTGATCCTTCTGCCTCAGTCTCCTACGTACTGAGATTATAGGTGTGCACCAGCTGTAATTCTCAAAAAGAACATTTGAAATACATTAAAAATTTTAAAGACACACCTGTAAACCTAGCACTAAGGCGGAGATAGGATTTGTGCCATGTCAAGGTCACTTTAAACTATGCAGCAAGGGGGCCTGGCCTTCGCTCAGTTGTTTAAGTGGCTGCTTCCACAAAGCTGTCAGCCTCAGGTGGCTGGAGTTCAGTCCCCACAACACTCCAGCCAGCCAAACCACCCCTGAGGGCATTCCGAGCCAAAAAAAAAAACACCTTAAACTATGCAGCAAAACCCTGCCTCCAAAAATAAAAATCTTGTGTAATATATATGTTATACAAGATTGTGTGTGTGTGTGTACGTGTGTGTACTTTCCTTTTTTTTTTTTTTTTTTGGGTCTGTCGAGTCTATGCAGTTTAGACTGGCCATGAACTCACTTTGTAGCCCTTTAGCCCTTGCTGGTCTCGAACTCAGCAATCCTCCTGCTTCAGCTTCCTGAGTGCTAGAATTGCAGGCATGCACTCCCATGCCTAGTTTGTGTATAATATTAGTAAAGTTATTCTGGGCAGTACATTGAGCTCCATAGAGACAGTGCCGGGGCAAGGAGAGCCAGACGGGCACTGGGCGACTCTGTACCTTGCTGAGGAAAACAAGTAAACAAGGGCAAAGGAGATCCTAAGAAGCCGAGAGGCAAGATGTCATCATATGCATTCTTTGTGCAAACTTGCCGAGAGGAGCACAAGAAGAAGCACTCAGATGCTTCTGTTAACTTCTCAGAGTTTTCTAAGAAGTGCTCAGAGAGGTGGAAGACCATGTCTGCTAAAGAAAAGGGAAAATTTGAAGATATGGCAAAGGCGGACAAGGCTTGTTATGAAAGAGAAATGAAGGGGCTGGTGAGATGGCTCAGTGGTCTAAAGCACCTACTTAGAACAAGCTAAGCTAAACAAAGCACAGGGACTGCGGTTCAATCCTCCAGCACCACATGCCAGCCAGCCCCGCCCCCTGGTGGGCTGATCTGGCCACACACACACACACACACACACACACACACCCCACATAAATAAATAAAATTAAAAAAAAAAAATCCTCCTGCCTTATTAAAAAGAAAAAAAGAAAAATGAAAACTTACATTCCTCCTAAAGGAGAAACAAAAAAGTTCAAGGATCCCAATGCGCCCAAGAGGCCTCCTTTGGCTTCTTGTTCTGTTCTGAGTATTGCCCAAAAAATCAAAGGAGAACATCCTGGCCTCTCGGTTGGTGATGTCACAAAGAAACTTGGAGAAATGTGGAATAACACTGCAGCAGATGATAAGCAGCCATAGGAGAAGAAGGCTGCTAAGCTGAAGGAGAAGTATGAAAAGGACATCGCTGGGGCTGGAGAGATGGCTCAGTGGTCTAAAGCAGCTACTTGGAACAAGCTTGGCAAAGCACAAGGACCGCGGTTCGATCCTTCAGCACCACATGCCAGCCAGACCCGCCCCCTGGTGGGCTGATCTGGCCACACACACACACACACACACACACACACACAATAAATAAATATAATAAATAAATAATTAAAAAAAAAGTTGTAGCTTTAAAAAAAAAAGGACATCGCTGCCTCTTGGGCTAAAGGAAAACCTGATCAGCAAAAAAGGGAGTCATGAGGGCTGAAAAAAGCAAGAAAAGGAAGAGGAGGATGAAGAGGAAGAAGAAGGATGAGGAGGATGATGAATAAGTTGGTTCTAGCGCAGTTTTTTTTTCTTGTCTATAAAGCATTTAACCCCCGTGTACACAACTCACTCCTTTTGAAGAAAAAAAAAATTGAAATGTAAGGCTGTGTAAGATTTGTTTTTAAACTGTACAGTGTCCTTTTTTTGTATAGTTAACACACTACCGAATGTGTCTTTAGATAGCCCTGTCCTGGTGGTATTTTCAGTAGCCACTAACCTTGCCTGGTACAGTCTGGGGGTTGTAAATTGGCGTGGAAATTTAAAGCAGGTTCTTGTTGGTGCACAGCACAAGTTAGTTATATATGGGGACGGTAGTTTTTCATCTTCAATTGTCTCTGATGCAGCTTATATGAAATAATTGTTGCTCTGTTAACTGAATACCACTCTGTAATTGCAAAAAAAGTTGCAACTGTTTTGTTGACATTCTGAATGCTTCTAAGTAAATAGTTTTTTTTATTAAAAAAGTTATTCTGTCCATTCTCAGTTCATGGTTTGTCTTAACCCAGCTGTGATGCTTTCTCTTTTTTTTTTTTGTCTTCCAGCAAGCGAGGATTCAGTGTCCGGTCTTTTGGAACAGGAACTCATGTGAAGCTCCCAGGACCAGCACCCGACAAGCCTAATGTCTATGATTTCAAAACCACATATGACCAGATGTACAATGACCTACTCAGGAAAGACAAAGAACTGTATCCCAAGTGTGCCCGTAGAGAGCCCAGAGGGTCTTCTGGCAGGTGTGGTCTATACCTGTTCTGCAGGGAGGTGCCCGGGTGATTCGGGCGTGGGCGTAGCATGCTGGCCCAAGCACTGTTCTCTGTGTTCACCGGCACTTGGGTGTCTCCTCCTGCTGCCCACTGGACAGCCCCAGAGCTCTATCTGTTGTGGCAGTGGGAGTGTGAAAGCCTGACTGCAGACACAAATGGAACCCTACACTGTCCTGGTCAGACAGGTGCCCACAGTAAAGCGTGGCCCTCAGACCGTGAGGATGCACAGGTCTGGGTGCAGGGCTCTGACCGGCAGTGTGCTGCTGCCCACACTGGGGTCTGTGGGACCGACCAGCAAGGCTGTCTTTTTGGCCAGAGATGGCGATAGAGGCGAGTCATCTGGGAGGATTGTGCTTCATCCAGGAGGTGAAGCAGGCTGGTCTACTGCGTGAGATTCACTCAAGAAGGAGAGTTGGGGTTTTCTTTTTCTGGTCTTCTTTGGAGATAGGGTCCCACTTTGTAGGCCAGGCAGACCTCAAATTTGTGATGGTCCTCCTGCGTTAGCCTCCCAAGTGCTGGGATTAACAAATGTGTACCACCTGGCCTGGCCTGAGATGGTACTTTTAAAATTGTTTTCTATGATGGGCACACCACGTATTTTAATTCCTGATCGTTTCCACATTATTTAGGGCTGTGGATGTAGTACTTCAGTGGATGAGTGGATGTGGCTGAGTTCAGTCCCTAGTACTGGAAAGAAAAAACAGTCCCAGGCCACCTTTTGCTTTGGTTATCAGAATGGAGCTGAAACATTTCAAGCAAATGAATATCAAAAACAGGGCTGGAGAGATAGCAGTCTAAGTGCCTCCCTGGCAAGCACAAGGACCTGGGTTTGATCCCCAGTATCACATGCTGTGTGAGCCCTAGACCCCTGGGTGTGCTGGCCAACATGGCATGTGGTACCAGGGATCTAACCGAGGTCCTTGCACTTGCCAGGCAGGCACTTAAACCACCGAGCTGTCTCCCCTTCCAAGGTGTTTTTTTAAAGAGCAAGAGGGCCAGGGATAGAGCTCAGTGACGTATAGCATAAGTGCCTGCCTGGCAAGTGCAGAGTCCTGAGTTCAGTTTCTGGTACCAAAAAAGAAAAACCCACAGGAAATGTTTTATTTCTGTTTTAACAGGTTTTGTTTTATTTTGTTTTGTTTAAGGCAGAGTTTTTTTTTTCTTTTTTCTTTTGGCAGAACCAGGGATTGAACTCAGGCCCTTGCGCTTGCCAGGTAAGCACTTACTCCACTGAGTGCTCTCCCGGCCCTAGAGGCTGGTCTTGAGCTCAGCACTTAGCCCAGGCTGGCCTCTTAACAGCAGTCCTCTTGCTTCAGCCTCGCCCTTCCTGAGTGTTGGACTCATATATGCGCACCACTTTGGCAGTTGTGATTTGTCTTGGTTACTTTTTACTCATTGCTGGGACAGAATACCTGACACCAAACCTTAAGGGCGAAAACGTTTATTTAGCTCACTGGACATTTCAGACCATACTCAGCTGGCTCTCAGGCAGAGTGGCACATAGCAGAGGGCAGCAGTTCACGGAGGCCCGGAAACAGCGACGCACAGAGGAGTGGTAGCTAGCAAGTCTTTTCTTTGTCCAGTATTCAGGCCATCACAACCCTAGCGTTGACTCCTGGATTAATCGCAAGCCCTGGAAGGCTGCCCAAATGGCTGGATGAGGCTTGGGGGAACACCTAGATGCAGACCATAACACAGTTTTTAATGAAATGAGGTTGGGCGGTGTTGGGTACTAGTACCTTTAGCTACTTGAGAAGTTGAGACAAGAGGAGCCCAAGTTTGTGACCAGGTGGACAGCTTAGTAAGATTGTAAGATTCTGTCTCAAAAATAGTGTTTGGTAAATTGAAAATGGCTTTGTGTATATGTTGATTAATTAGGTAGCAGGGAAACCCTGCAGGTGATCCTAGCAAAGCCTGAGGCCTAAATCAGACATCTTCTGCCCTTCCTTGTGCTCCCTGCTGAGCTGCAGTTGGAATGTTAGTGTGGACCCAGGACGGAAGCTTGAGTTTCCTGTCAGCATCTCCCACCGAGGGGCGTGCAGGAGCCCGCCTCTATACTGCTGCACCACAGCGACCCTGGTGGCAGGTCCTGGGATCTCAGCCCGTCTCAGAAGCCAGGCCTGTGTTGGTAAAGAGGTTCCCACGGCTACCTGTGCTGTGTGCTGGCCACAGCTGGGGCTGCTGTGCTCCCTGAGAGCTGAAGTGAGGCATGGACTCTCCCTGAAATCCCCTCTGCTCAGAGTGCCCCACCCTTTGCTTCCTTCTGGCCTTCCTGTCTTCTGTCCTCCGGCCTCACAAAGAACCATACATTCCTTTCAAGGAATCTCATTTTGGGGCAGGGCACTTCTTTTAGCCCTGGAAAAAACAAGGAAGAAAGAAAATGAAAATGATTCTTCAGTTAGTATCATCCTCTGTGTGCATGCATGCCCATGTATGTGTGTGTTACAGGGGGTTGAAGTCAACAACCTTTGTGTAGAGCTACATCCTTGGCCTACCTCCCCTTTTGAATTTTGAGACAGGCTTCACTAAGTCACCAAAGTTGGTTGCCTACGCTGGACTTAAATTTAGAATTCTGTGTCAGCCTCCCACTAAGCTAGGATTACAGGTGTATAGGGCATATGGCTGGTACCATTCACTTTGTTTTGTTTTGTTTTGTTTTCCTGTTTTGAGATTGGTTCTTGATGTATACTTCAGGCTGGCCTCAAACTCAGAGTCATCCTCCTGCCTCAGCCTCTCAACTATCACAGGTATGTGCCACCATGCACCATTCGTTGAAACTCGTGTACTCTGTGAAAGAAATAAAAACAGGTCCTGGTATGCAGGCTGATACTCCCTTAATATTGTAAATTGAGTTCTTTTATTTGGTAGCTGATCAGCCTCTGCTTCTGGGTGGGCCTGCGCTTACTGACTGTAGTCAGCAGTCAGGCACAAGGGTCATGCCGATGGGGACACACCCAGCCTGTGCTGGGGACTCAGAACCTCCCCAGGCAGCTCCAGCTGGCTCCCCTTCTGAGCCCGTCTGTCCAGAAGCAGCGGCACTGCACATCGTCATATTCTTGGTGGCCTGGGGAGCTTGTGGTGATCTGGGGTACACAGTGACTCCCATTCCTCTACAGTATTTTCTCCTTGGTGCTGTCAGAGGTTCTGGAATAGGGTCCACTTGGCTGGCCTCTCCCCCCCCCCCCCACAGTGGCCCTCAGGTCTCCATGATGCCCGAAAGTGCTTAGCTACCCTGCCCATGGCACTGCACTCGGCTAGCAGAGGAAGGTAACTCCAGGGAGTTCACTGGCTACAGCTGGTGCCCTGACCAAGACAAGGACACTAGGTGCAAGCGAGCACCTCAGGCTGGTTGTGGGGAGCGGTTCCGTGGGGCTGGACTGTGGAGTAGTGCCTGGGCAGGGTGTGCAGCTCCGCTGGGGGTCCCCTAAGCATTGTCAGCATACACAAGCACCAAGAACTTGCAAATCCTTAATAGATTAACTCATGCTTTATAGATAGATTTTTTTTTTCGTATTTTAGGACAGGGTCTATAGGGTCTCACTACGTAGATTGGACTCAGTGTTCTGCCTGTGTTCAGCCTCCCAAGAGCTGGGATTACAGGCACACACCATCATGCCCAGTCCACTGCCTCAGCACACCCTGAGGGCAGGGCTAGCAGCACTCGTGTTTTACAGAGATGATTGCTATAATCTGTAGTGGAAGGATAAGACCTTTTTTTTTTTTTTTAAATGCGCGCGCGCGTGTGTGTGTGGCCAGCTCAGCCCACCAGGGGGCAGGGCTGGCTGGCATGTGGTGCTGGGGGATTGAACCGCGGTCCCTGTGCTTTGCTTAGCTTAGCTTGTTCTAAGTAGGTGCTTTAGACCACTGAGCCATCCCCCCAGCCCCACCTTTTTTTTTTTTCTTGAGACAGTGTCTTACTGTGTCGCTCAGGCTGCTTTGAATTCAGTGTGCAACCCCGTCTGCCCTCAAACTTGAGACCCTCCTGCCTCACCTGAATGCTGATATTATAGCTGTGTGCCACCAAACCTGGCTCAGTTTAAAAGTTTTAATTTTGAGCCAGATTCTGCTCAGATGCTCAGGCTGCAGCCTAACTTTGAATCTTGTCTCAGCCTTCGAGAAGCTGAGAGTACAAGTATGCACCATGGATCATACCAGGGGCTAGCAGAATCTTAGTCCCAGCACTCGGGAGGCTGAGGCAGGTGGAATGTTGTGAGTTTGAGACCAGCTACAAAGTGAGCTCAAGATTAGCCTGAAGTACATAGTGAGGTCTTTAATAAATAAATAAACAAATAAATAAATAAATAAATAAAACCTGGCATTGAGAAGTGCTTAAGGGTTCAAAAAAGATGTGACTTCATGAAACAGTGGTGCTTGCCCAAAGGCCTGGCATCCCAGAGGCCACCTCTGCCAGTGTCCTCCTGTGGTCCAAGCCTGTTCCCTGAATGGGCCACAGGACACTCAGGAATGGAGGTGGCCCACACTACGCTGAGCGAGGTGTTTGCCAAGCCAGCACTGCTGTGGAGACACACTTCCGACTGGGAGGCCCAGATGAGAGTGGGGTGAGTGGAGACCCGCCGCCCTGCCCCACACTTACCTGGCCAGGTCATGGTGTACTGTGGAGTGTTGGTGGTTTTTCCTGGCTGGCTACCATGGAGGGCTAGGAAAGGAGGTAGGCGGTATCTCCAGCCCAGAAGCAGATCAGACCTTTGCAGGACATTTTGACATTGTCCAAAAGTGGACCCATTTTCACCTGTCTTAGTTTAATTTCTTCAATATTTGGCCATGAATACATGATTCTGATTTTGGTTTCTAAAAGCAAAGGACTTGGCTGCCTGCTGTCTCAGTAGGAATTTGTCTTACTATAGGGTTTCTTTCTTTTTTTTTTGGTTTCTTTTTTTTTTTAAATGCCCCCCACCCCCAACTGG